GCCGCCGCCGGCACCCGCGCCGTGGGCGCGAGCTCAGGCTGCGGGGGAAAAATTTAAGTTACAGAGCACATTTTAAAGCCCGAGCGCTGTCCCTGGAGAATAAATGCGGAAAGCCAATCCTGAGAGGACTCACTGACTTTTTTTCCTCAGGGAACAGCGCGCACAGGAGCCCTGGCTTCCACCCGGCCCGCGCCTTCCGGCCCGTCAATCCGTCACATTCATCGGCATTATTCCCATTTCTGCTGCGCCCCCGCTGAAAGCAACGCTTCCCAGATGCTGAAATTCCGCTATTGGAGATTCCCAGCCTGTCCTGTCTCTACCAATCCACTTTTACATCGTGAATTCTTTAAGTTTTCAAATTTTTTCACTTTATTGACTTCCTCCGTTATTTTGGTAACGAGTTTTTCATAAGGCCCCAGGTTCTCCTGTTGTTAAGGCGTCTGAGCTACCGTTACCCGAGCAGGCGGAGGATAAAGGGCGGTGCTGGCACCTAAATCAACCAAACGGCAACCGCGCGGCACAGCGGGCGAGCGTGGCTTTTCGCCCAAGCGTGGTTTCCAAACGCCCGCGGCTCCCGGTTCGGGCGGCGTCAGCTGAGCCTCCTGTAGCAGCACACCCACGCTCCCGCCCCGCCGCACTGGGGACAGGCGGCTGTCGCCGAGGCGATGCTCTGTCACGGGCAGTCGCGTCTGGCGCTGGGCACAACTTCAGAGGGAGCGCCGGTACTTTTGTAAATGAAGACGCAGAAGGATTTGTTGTAAAACTTGTATTTCTCTGTTACATACCACAATGGTAGAAATTGCCCCATGATGCTGGACCTGCGGCACAGAGCCGCTCGCCCCGGTGAGCAGCCGTGTCCCGCCACCGAGGCCGGGCAAAGCGCCTGCCCTGTCCCGTGCCCCTCATGCCCCGGCCTGGGCTCTTGACACCCGTGTGGCACCAGCTGTCGGCCCCTGCTCGCCCAGGGCCATCAGGGACCAGCGAGGCCGCAGGGGTGCTCCCCCGTGTCCCCTCACACCCGCCCTCCCCTCGGCTCCCCCGTGTCGCCTCACACCCGCCCTCCCCACGCTTCCCTCCGTGTCCCCTCACGCCCGTCGCCGCCCTCCGCCCTTCCCGCCCAGCCGAGC